AAAACTTCTTAGCAATTATCTTTTAGGAATTCCCCATTTCTAAATAATATGTTGACAGAACCCCAAACACAGTGCCACAGTAAATAATCTGACATGTTACTTAAAGATATATAATTTTATTTTACATGCTATTAGTAATTTGGTCACGTGGATTTATCTAGAATTTTTTAAAAATTGCAACTTAGGGTAATTTAGAAACTTGAGTGCCCTTCCTAAAGTGCTCGTTTTTTTTCTGATCCCTACACATATTGAAAGCTTTCCCTTTTCTTGTACTAATAGTGTAATTTCAAAGTTTTAACACAGCAATAGTAAGAGTGAAAACAAATTTCCTATAATTGAATTGATTGATACCTGCTTAGTCTAGGAGTTATGTTTAATGGTGTTTATAAGTATATTTGTTATTGTTTCTTTAACTTCTTATCTATAACTCCAGATTTTCCCCTGCCTTTGGTGTTCAATAAGTAAAGTAACTTGGAAGCAACTAGATCATATTGTATAGCAAGACCATTTGTATATTCACAGCCTGGAGATGGTGAGATAGACTGGATGGAGATAAGGAGGGAAAGGATGATATTTTAAAAAGTGGACACTTTGCATCAGCTATTTTTGCTTTAACATATATATATATTTAACATATGTATTTGTTATATGTTAACATTTTAACATATAAATATATAAAACCACACTTTACTGTTTATCAGACTTAAATTCCCTAGTTTCTATTTAAAGGTAACAATCTAAATTTGGTTGTCATTTAAACAGTGTGTAGGGAATTGTACTTGCATCTTCTTAAATGTTAAGTGTAAATATTTCTGTTATAAGGAGAGCTTGCTAAGTAGAATGTTTTATATTGTTTGATCCTGTTTTTTTTTTAAGGAAAAGATTTGTTTGATTATCTCCACCATAAAACAACTCAACCGTGGTTTTATGCTCTAGTATATATAGTTCATTACTGCACTGAAAGATGATTTCATGCTGTTAGCTTAAGACTTTCCTTTAAAGTAGCTTTTATATAAACTTAACCTTTAGTATTTATTATCACTAAGGTTTCACCAGTGAAATGGAATATTTCTGAGTATGCCTAGAAATTTAGTTATGTTATTTTTAAAGTTGGATAGGTTATGGCAATATCCTCTTTGTGAGTCACTCTTGTTTCGTATTTTGTATCTTCCGATGAAAAAACTCTACCATTGACCAAAGCTTCTCTCTCCTAAAATTCCTTGTTACTTACTCCTTGGACTCGCCTGTGTCTTTGTAATTTGCCTGCTGCTTATTGAAATAGTGATCTGTCTGCCTTTCAGTGAGTCACGTGTGGTAGCCTTGGAGATTTTGTGGCAAACAAATCTGATTGTTGGTTTTAGATTTTATGCCTCATTGAAGCCTTTAGTTATTTGAGCCAAAAAGTGGTGATAACGTCTGTGTGTGATGCAACTTTTGACTTTTATACAATTCTATTCTTGAATCAGAAAACCAGCAGAGCAAAGACCTGGTTTCATTCCAGTATTAAGTATATTTCATTAAAGTATACTTTTTTCCATAGTAAAAATGTTCACTTTGCTTTCATAGCTAATTCCAATATGGATAATTTACTACTTACTGGCATGAATATTGCTTTGTTTTTACTTGAAGACCTTTGCTTTTACAAAAGCTATGGCATAAATAGCTTTGAAATACATACTGTGCTTATTTTCTAAATTCTTACGTAACACTAACAATGACAGGAGAATGAGTTTTCAGTACTGTTTCTATTTTAAAATTACTTTAAAAATGTTTAAGATTTGTTTTTTTTCCTGAGTACATAAATGCATTAAAAAAGAAAATATGTTATCATAAAATTAAAGAATTATAAAAAAAGACTTGTTCTCTCACCAATAATTCATTAAAAAATTATAGTTCTAATTATCAATGAACATGCTCTACTTTTTCTTCAGGTTTGTAAATTTTGTATGGTGAGAGCATTTTGAGAAAACCTCTTTAATTATTAATTATTAGCACATAAACTGTTAATTTCATTGTCAGAAAGTCTGAAAATTTTATGTCCTAAAAACAATTTGACTTAAATTTTCACTTTTTAAGGGGAACAATACAGTGACTTGTTATTTTAAGTTTATTAGAGAAACATGGATAGGAATAAATATTAGTTTTTCAGAAGGTCACACTGAGTGAGTTTTTTAGAAGCATCATAATTAGAGATGCACTTGAAAAAAATGTGTTTCCAAAGGAAAATGTTAACTTAGTTCAGTGGCATTTCTCATGAACAGTTTTGAAGTTGGCAATGTAGGTACATATGTGAAGTATGCATAATTATGTATCCTAAAGATATTAACATTACACTTAAATTTGTACATTGGTTCATAACAGATATTTAGTCTTCCAAACAGAGAAAAGCTTGACACAGTGATTAAATAAAGCATTAGATAATTACAGATATATTTAGGAACATAAGGTAAAAAAAAAAAATCAACATGTATTCTGGTGTACTGGGTTAGCACTTAAGCTGTAGAATCAGAATACCTTTATTTGCAGCCTGTTGTTTCCATGTTTCAGCTATCTGACTATGATTTTGGCAAGTTATCTTAATAAAAATGGAGTTAATAAATGAAGTAACTACTTTGTAGACTTGTGCTGAATAAGTATCAGCTGCCACTATGATCATTATGGTTACTATTATTCCAAGGTGAAAGACATAACTATTCTATACTGTATCTTTACAGAAAAATTTAGCCTTTACTTACAGTTGTTACAAGGCTACATGTCTTCCTGTATGATGGGTGTTTTCATCATTTTTATATTTTTCTGATCATAAAAAATAATGCATATTCACTTTTTTGAGAACCTACCTTTCTCCACCAGTGAACAATATGAGTGTTTTTTCAAGTAATCATTTATAGATCTACCCAAATCTTAAAAAAAAAAAAAAAAAAAAAAAAAACTATATACCAGTGTATAATATAGTCAGAATACAACTTTGTATCATTTTCCCTGTAGATACCCATTTATGACTGCATTCTCTGGTTGTTATAAGAGTACTATTGTACTTTTTGTGTCTTTGTCCTCATGTTTTTACGTATTTGCAGTTTTTCTTTAGATGTCTGTCAACATTGTTTTACTGGATAATAGGATATATGCACTTAAATGACACATTGATAGACTCAGCAAAATGCCCTTCCACAAATACTGGGTTATTTTGACTCACTGCCTATTTCCCCAAACTATTACTAATACTTGGTGCTATCAACCCTTTATTATTTTGCCACATTGATGAGTAAAAGTTTTCATTACATTAATTTGCATTTTAAATATGAGGGAGACAAGGAGCTTTTTATGTATTTGATTGTTTACATTTTGTTTGAATTGTCTATTCAGTCCCTTTATCCAAATTTGTCTTTTATTGATTTTTTTTTAGAAGCTCTTCATTTGGATATGTTTTTTCTTCTCTGTGGGGCAAATATTTTCTCAGTCTTCTTTACCTTTGCTTATGGTGTATTTTCTTACATAGAAGCTTATGTCTTTATTCCTACCTGTCATATATTTCATTGACAGGTTATGAAGTTATAGTTTTTTCTAACATTCCAAGATTATAACTTACTCCCCGGTATTTGCTTTTAATAAATTGCTTGTAATTTTATATGCTTAAATTTTTCATCTCTCTGGAGTTTATTTTTGAGTCTGTTGTAGATGATTAAACTTTTCTTCCAAATATATAGCCAAACTTGTAACATCCTCTTATTGAAAAACTCTAGAATTATCATTATTATTTTTACCATTATCCGTATTGAGCACTTAGAATTGCCAGCACAATATTGAGTGCTTTACATGTATTGCCCCATTTAATTCTTACAATTACCTTCTGAAGTTGGTACTATTACTGTATCCACTTTACGGATGTAGAAATCACAGGATGGAATCTTAGTGACTTGACAGAGATCATGCAGCTAGATAGTGGTAAGGTTACGAGTCACGATTTGGATGTAAGTAGCCTAGTTCCAGAATCTGTTATGCTGTTATGTGGGTTTTCTGTGCCTCATATTGTGGCACTGTTCCAATATTAACGGTCTTTGATGCGCTGTCTTTAAGCTTCACCTACTCTCTTGGCCTTGACTTTGCCCATTCTCTCCTTTGCTCTCATGCCTTCCTGCCTGCATTTGGGCCTGGCCAGCAGGTCCGGGAGCATCCCTGTCCTCCGTTTTTTGTGCTCTTCCTTTCTTCAGCAAATACAGAGTAATGACTCTCAGTGTTAGAGGCACTTTGCAAAATATGACAGATGTGCCGCAGAATACCAGAACTAAAATGACTATTCTTACCAACCACAAGAAGAGGGACAATGTGTGAATTTGATCACAAATGGAGTTGCTTTTTGTGCTTGTCTTTAACATTTAATTAAATAACTACCACATACCAGGCTAAACTATCACATTAAAATATTACTGAATTAAAAGTTACAGTACATTGGGGCACCTGGGTGGCTCAGTTGATTAAGCGTCAGAGTCTTGATCTCAGCTCAGGTCTTGATCTTGGGATTATGAGGTCAAGCCCTGTGTTGGGCTCTGCGCTGGCATGAAACCTACTTTAAAAAAAGGAGGAAGAGAAAAAAGTTTACAGTATATTAATGTTACTTTCAGAATGAAATTTCTAAATAAAGTGCAGTTAAATGTTGAGGTCTTCATAAGGAGTGGCTGATAGGAAGTTTTTGTTTGTTTGTTTGTTTGTTTGTTTTTTCCCCCAGTTCTCTGAAACTTCTTGCCTTTGAGAAACTAGTTATCTTTTGGATTTCTTCAAATATGTCTCACCCCTCCCCAAGTTCTAACATTAAAAAACATGCATGAACACAAAAATGGCAAAAGACATGGCACATTTGGGTAAATTTGAAACAGAAATGTGACTTGAATGTACTGCATCCTGAAAGAGTCAATCAGCTCATTTCTGAGAAAAAAGCCCAATTTTGTCTGTGCCTTCAGCCTCAGCTCTTCTCTCACTTGACTCTTCCTTTGGTGTCTCAGTCTTCAGGAACCAGTATTACTGTGGATATTGCCGTGATGGGTGAAGCTCATGGTCTCATTACCGACCTCCTGGCAGACCCTTCTCTGCCCCCCAACGTGTGCACATCCTTGAGGGCCGTGAGCAACCTGCTTAGCACCCAGCTCACCTTCCAGGCTATTCACAAGCCCCGCGTGAATCCTGTTATTTCCTTCAGTGAAAACTACACCTGTTCTGATTCTGAAGAAAGCTCTGAAAAAGACAAGCTGGCTATTCCCAAGGTAAGTATTAAGGACACATTCCTGGAAAGGTTAAATTTTTTTTGTTTTGTTTTCTGGGTCTGTTTGTTGTCACCCCACACCCATATGGAAGATTTATGTCAGTGACTCAGTGAAGACGTGTTGATCATGGTGATCAAAGTTAATAAAAATTTAAACATAAAGACTTGTGTCCTTAAACCTAATAGCTTTCTACAAGTGAAAGCTTTACCTTGTTATGTTACCTTTTTATTATTATTATTATTATTATTTTGACTTTGAAGAAGATTTTAAGATTTTACTCCTCTATGCCAGGCTCTGTTCTGTGGGCTAAAGATGTAGCAGTGAGGGGTGGGGGCAGGAAAAAGTCCCTGCTCCTAGTGTTTAAAATCTGGTGTCTTCTGAAACCCAAGGATGCTCTGCACATGATTTCTTTGTGTGATACCCATCAGAGTATGCTCCTGGTTTTCCCAAACCCAAGAAGTTTTGAACTCAGAACAGTTTTGATTGATTCTGGATTATTTAAGGTAAAAGATGGCCTTAGTTATTTGTAGAATTCTTTCTTTTTACATGTAAGATCGGAGTTTTACAAATATAAGCTGTAGGAAATCAGATCCTACAGCCAGTTTAGACCTTGCATGAGAATGGGTCATATTAAAGACTAAAAAAAAAAAAAAAAGTTTTAAGTCATCTCTGGCACATCCTGCAGTTGTCTGTTTGGTAAACAGGCGTCTGTCCTCTTTAGCTAGTGGTCAGTCAGTAACACCCTTGCTTTAGCTATTCTGAGTCTCTTGACTCAGGAATGTGTTTTTCACACAGCTTTCTCAATTAGGTATTTACATAATTTTTTGAACATCTGCTTCTCTGCAAAAAGTATGGCTAAGCATGATAAGACAGTAAAGGAATGAAGAGAGATTAACTGATTCCTTTCAGTCTCAAAAGAGACGTGAAGTTAGGCATCAATCCTGATATGTAAAATGCTTGACCTCTTCTCTTACTATTGAATTACATTCTAAGATGAATATTCAGACCTTTAGGAAATATAGGAAGCTAGTATCAGAGTCATTCTTTTTTTTAATGTTTATTTTTGAGAGAGGGACAGTGCAAGTGGGGGAGAGGCAGAGAGACAGGGGGAGAACACAGCATCTGAGGGAGGCTCCAGGCTCTGAGCTGTCAGCACAGAGCCCGATGCGGGGCTTGAACTACGAACTGCAAGATCATGACCTGAGCCGAAGTTGGATGCTCAACTTGACTGAGCCACCCAGGAGCCCCTGTCATCGTTTAGATGAAGACCCCAAAATGTTAATTTTGTAATAGTCATTCCTTTATTGATTTCCTGACCACCTAGATCCAGATAGGTAATATTCAGCCAATAGATTTTAATAAATTTGCTTCCAATTTAAAACCCATTTCCTCCCATTATATTACATAGAAGTCAGTGATCAAAAATATGCTTGATAATAAAATCAACACTCCTTCTTCCTAGCGTCTGAGAAGGAGTTTGCCTCCTGGTTTGTTGAGACGTGTTTCATCAACTTGGACAACCACCACCTCAGCCACAGGCCTACCCACTTTGGAGCCTGCCCCAGTCCGGAGGGACCGTAGTGCCAGCATCAAACTGCATGAAGCATCTTCATCAAGGTTAGGCAATGCTCCTGTTGGTTTCATGTCTCTGGAGAAGTTATTTGCCAAAAGGAATGATAAATTGCAGAGGAAAGGTGGACCAACTAATTACAGTTGCTTGGAGGCCAGTGTCAAAAATGAAGATGGTATATGGTTTAAATGCAGAGCAGCACTATAGGGATTAATATTAGATAGTTAGGCTTAAGTTGTGTTGTGTGACCTTGCATGTAAATGGGAACAGCGAGTTGAGTTAATGCCCGCCAGTATGACAGGATGGGAAGAGTTGAGCCCAGAGCAAAGGTAGGCTAGATTTTACAGAGACTGAGATTCATATTGAGATTCTTAAATCAAAGGCATACAACCTGATATTTGCAAATTGTTGTTAGATTTCCCCCAGCCCACCAGACCGGTTATCCTAGTATGATATGAAAGGCAAAAGATCAGATCAAAAAGTAGATCGTCATCCTGAAGGTATCTGGATATGTTCAAACATTTGGTGATTTAAAGTTTATTTAGACAAAGGACAAATTGGTGGCTAGCAGAGACAGGACATGGGGGGGTGACGTGGGCCAAATAGGGAAAGGGGGTCAAAAGGTACAAACTTTGAGTTTTAAATAATTGTGATAGGGATATAATATACAGCATGGTGACTATAGTTAGTAATACCATATCACACATTTGAAAGTAGCTAAAAGAGTAAATCTTAAAAATCCTCCTCTCAAGAAAAAAAAATTTTTTACTGTGTGGTGATGGATGCTAACAAGACTTATTATGGTGATTATTTCACAATATATACAAATATCAAATCATTATACACCTGAAACTAATATGTTGACAATATCTCATTTGAGAAACAGAATAGACTTTATGTAGTATGTTAATTAAAATTTTACAAAGTGATTTAAAAGCCAGAATTACCAAAGCTAAAGAAAGATAGTGTTAAGATCTAGAAAGAATTTTGAAGAAAACTTCGTGAAAGAGGTGCTTTTAGAGGGAGCTATTGTGTTTGTCCTTTTCTAGTTAGAATAAAAATAGCATACTTTGTATGAATTCAGTAATTTTGAGAACGTTTCTCATACGATTTCAGGTTTTTGAAACATTTGCATCAGTTTTATTAATGATGAAATGACTAAAAAATAACCACATCTTTGTTGAACTCCATGAAGGTAATGTTAGAAGTAATTTTCTCCTGATCTGGGCCTTGAATATCAATAAAGCACTATTTTGAGATTGGCAGAGAAATGGAAACCTTTCGAATTAGAACTTTAATGACTAACTTTTCTTTCTTTGTCATTTAAAAATATGTTTAATTGGTTTCTCCCATATTAACATGGATAGTCTAATGAACCTATAGAATCCAAAGCAAACTCAAATGATTCTTTCACGTATCAGTGTAATTCTCCATTTTATTACCTGGACTTCTGTAAAACTTTAAATGCCACCACAGGAGAAGATTACCCAATCTGATTCATGAACATTTCCTAAAGTTTTAAATTACAGGTCTTTGGTGATATATTCCTCTGAAAATATTGACTATTGTCAGTGTCTCCAACAGCAAATATTGATAAGTGATACTGGATCATAGTTAAATATTTGTTCCTTAAGAAAATGAATTTTGGGGGTGCCTGGGTGGCTCAGTTGGTTAAGGGTCTGACTTTGGCTTGGGTCATGATCTCACAGTTTTTGAGCTCAAGCCCCATGTTGGGCTCTATGCTGACAGCTCAGAGCCTGGAAACTGCTTTGGATTGTGTGTCTCCCTCTCTCTGCCCCACCCCTGCTTGTGCTCTTTCTCTATCAAACATGAATAAACATTAAAAAAATTTTTTTGTAAAGAAAGAAAATGGATTTTGTTCTCAGTGTATATCTTTAGGGAAGCTATTTTACCGACCAATTTTTCCAGGATTTCTGTCATAGAATAGCTAATGCCCCATGATTTTTTTTCCATACATTGACTTTGCCAGAAGTCCATTTGTGCATTTTTGAATGATTCCTTTATTTCTGTAATTGTTTGTTACTTCTTGTCACATTTCATTTCTTATATTTCTTTTCTTCTTAGTTAAGTGAGATTAAGGACTGTAACTGAAATTATCATGAAGAGGGTTTCAAGAACTTTTATGAGCTGAACTCCCAGGGATCCTGTCATCCTGCTTAATGAAATAAATACTCATAATCAAATATTTTCAACATAATTTAGGAAGAGTGTAAAATCTCATTCATTTTCTTTGTCCAAGAAAAAAAAATACTTAAAGCTGACTTGCCAGAGTATACTTCCCCCCTAATTTTACTATTCCTTAATTTCACTATACTATTGAAAATCCTGATATAAAATCTGAAAACAGTACAAATTTTCACCACAATGAGTAAATGAAATTCATTCTGAAGAGAATTTAAGGGAATAACCATATATTAGTGGCAATAGTACCACCATTAACTACAACTAGTTTTGGTCATGGGTGAAAACAGTGAAAAGATAGCCATAGATCATCTTCAGCCCTGAATATAAACCAAAGTTAAAAATTCACTTAGAAGACCTATTGATAAAACTACAGATAGATTTCAAAACTGATTTGAGTGTTAGCCCTTGTGGTTTCTTCCCTTTCAGCCTTTTTGTTTCTTCCTTTCCTATGTGCCTATTGAAGACTCTGAGGACTGTAGTTATCAGAAGAACAGAGGTGAGAAGTGGAAATTAGGAGCAACCCTCAGCTTACCTTACGTCCCCTTCAGTATTTAGCTAGGTGATTCACTCCTGGGTAGTTTTACCTACAGCCGGGTAGAAAGGACGCTGGACTGAGGATCAGAAAGACCTTGGCCCTACCACTCAGAGATGCGTGTCCTGAAGAGCAGTCCTTGTCTGAGCCTCAGCATCCTCTGCAAAGAATCCTTCAGAGAAGGGGGAACTGTGGCACAATTGTGAGATAAATCAGGTAGAAGAATACCAGATGCTTCAAAAAAAAAAAAAATAGGCCTGAGATAAGTCACAAAAGTCTGAAATAAATCACACCCTAGTGACTGACTGAACTGACCCCTCCTTCACTATATTAGGCAGAAAGGAAACTTGGTTTAAAAACAAACAACAACAACAACAAAAACTTAGGATCTGGTAAGACTTTTTGAACCTTGGATGGTATTGTTATGGGTAGAACTAAGATTATAAAATTTACATTTGTGGAAGGGGATTGAGATCTTCCACAGCAGACATGTACAAACTTTTCCTCTTGTCACCTTGAGGTGACCAAGTAAAGGTTTCCCCAAGCTACTTTCCTCTTCCAAACCCAAATTATTATGTACATATTTATGTGATTGAAACAGCAATCATGAAGGTGTGAGGGTCAGTCCAAAGCTGAAAGCTATTGTGAGGCTCACAGAAGGCAATGTATTTGAAAGTGCCAGTAAATTATAATGCACATATATACATACACATATACGTATATCTACATATACATAAACATATAGCTTTATTGTTTTATTGATATCTGTTTTAATAAATGTTATATTAAGGACTGTATAGCTAGAATTTTAATTTGTCTTCAAGTTCATTTATTAACTTAATTATTAAAGGTACTCTATTATACTTTATAAAACTTTGCAGAATTAGCATATTTTCAATGTTTTCATTAAAAAGTAGACAGCTTTTGAGCTAGCTTTCATAATAGAAAACTTTTTGTGATAATAACAAATATACAAATATAATAAAATGCAGTTAATGTTAAGGTCTTGTCTTTTAAAAGTCTACATAGAAAAGTAATAACCATTCATTATGTTATGTACTAAGAAATTAAAACTCCTAGGCCAATATACATTGCATAAAAATTCTTCATAGTAATCTTATTGGTCATTCAATCAAGCAAAAGAAGTTAAAGAACAGCGCTGTAAAGAAATAGTGTAGTTATCTATCTCAGATTCTAAGTTTTCTTTGATTTCATTGTTTCAGAATTTTAGGCATTCTGAAATGCCTAGAATGAGATTTCAAGAAGAATATGAAACAAATATTATTTTGTGTGCTTTTCTTAATTGATAATCACTGGAGTTCATTCTATAGTTCATTCACTCTATAACATGTCTTTGTTATAATTTGTTTTGTAAACTGCTATTAGAATTAGGAGAAAAGATGAAGTTTTTAAATACCTAAGTCAATAAGTGAAGAAAAATGTGAAAAGGAAAATAAGAAATGAAGTAACATAAGTGTCAGAGTGTTAAATGGAATTCAATATACAGATTTTTTTGAATTGTTTTTAATGTTTATTTATATCTGAAGAAGAGAGAGACAGACCATGAGTGGGGAGGGGCAGAGAGAGGGAGACACAGAATCCAAAGCAGGCTCCAGGCTACGAGCTGTCAGCACAGAGCCCGAGATGGAGCTCGAACTCACAAACCATGAGATCATGACCTGAGCCAAAGTCGGATGCCCAGCCGACTGAGCCACCCAGGCACCCTGTAAGTTATGGATTTTATTCATTGCTAATGTTACTAATAATCAGAGAATATAGGCAGTAGTAAAACACATGCTTAGCATTCTTCCCTTCAAGAAGTATGAAACTATTAGTGCAGCCCCCTAAAAAAGTCTTTTTGTTCCACATTAGCACATGGGTCTATTTTGTATTTAACATGCAGAATTCTAAGTAATTCATGCATAATGTTGCTTGCACAGAGGAAGCCATTTTGCTTATGGGACACCTCTAAATTATGCGTTATTAATTATACATCTTACACGACCAGTCTCCACCATTCGTGACTCCATACCTCCATCAATTTCAGGTTTATTTACAATAAGCCACACAGACCAGGTACATCCTGCTTACACTGCCAGAAAGGAGGCTGCCAGTCCAAGATTGGCAGAATGTCAAATTGTCCAATTATACTCATGCAAATTATAGATCTGACCTAGTACCAAATTTACAAATGTTTAAAAGCGCAAAGGTATTAGCAAAACATGACCAGGTGTTTTTCCCATGGAGCATTCCAAGATTGCCAACATAGCTTCCTAATTACAATATATTCTCAAATTACAATATATTCTGTTTCAGATTTAACTTAAGGTTTTGAGCACTGCATTCAAATAAATTTTGCTTTAGAACACCTCCAAAATTCATATCCCATTAATTACATGGGTGTGTAATATTCTCCTCCCCAACCTTCCATAGATCCATTAATTTCAGATTTATTTATAGTTATAATCTAGGCAAACCAAGGATAGCTTGATAAAAGCATCCCTAGATGAAGACTCACTGTCCATTACCTTTCTCCTACTAAACAGCATCACTGTGTTTATCAAAATGTCCATCATTAACGTGTTTACAAGGGGATTTGGCTCAGCATCCCTTTCTTTCCAGAGTGTCACCAATAAAAGAAATTGTAGGCTAAATGCTTGTTGCTAACCTTTTCTTCACAAAAAAATGCTTGTGCAAAGAATACTATCTTTGAATAATTTTATAATCACTTAATTTTCAAATTCAGATATACCAAGAATAGATGAGGCACCTGCCATTCATAACTAATGTAAATTACGAACTTTGTTAAAAGCTTTGTCAAATTTGGGGCACCTGAGTGACTCAGTGTGTTAAGCATCCAACTTGGCTCAGGTCATGATCTTGTGGTTTCTGAGTTCGAGCTCTGCATTGGTCTCTCTGCTCTCATTGGAGAGCCCACTTCAGATCCTCTATCTCCCTCTCTCTCTGCCCATCCCCAGCTCACACATGCTCTCTTGCTCTTTCTCTCTCTCAAAAATAAACATTAAAAAAACAACTTTGTCAAGTTTTTAGAAAATCTGTGAGGAACATGATTGTAGTAGTACACTAAGAAGGTGTCTGGTTCCTGCTAACTGGATAAATAGGAAAATTATCTTTCCTCTTTTATTAACCCAGTATGTTTGATGAGTAACTGCTGTATCCCTGAAGCAGAAATTGAGCTCAGATAACTTATTTTTTTTTATTTGGAAGTAATGTAGTCATGTTGCTGAAGCTGGACCATGACTCAGATTGGCAAGCTGAATATGGAAATGGTGATTGCGTTCTGGCAAGATCTATCCCAATAATTGATTAATAATTTCTTCATTTTTCTTTATGCTCTGTCTTTATAGTGCTGTTTGTCCTGATTCTTGGAATAACCCAGTGATGATGACCCTCACCAAAAGCAGATCCTTCACTTCGTCCTATGCTGTTTCTGCAGCTAACCATGTAAACTCAAAAAAGCCAAATCGACCAGGTTAGTAGCTTTTTAGGAGAAGAGTTCCTCCTTAGTGAGTGTGTAGTCATGGGGTAAACTAAGCCTTAAATGTTGAAGTAAGATTCTGAGAATTCATACTAGGATATGTTTGGTTTGACAATTCTAAAAAGAAAAAGCCTCAATAACCAATTAATTTCTTAAATTTCCACAGATGCTTTCAATTTCTGCTAGGTATCCTATCTTGAACTTATTGGATGAATAGGAAATAAGTATCATCATTGAGGATAATCTGTGGAAGCATCATCTTGTAATATAAAAGCTAATGATGTACATGCCAATTTCAATTTTATTTTTAGTGTTAAAATTAGTTTTCAGGAGTATGGTAGTTATAGGAGTTAAGAAATGCTTCATTTGCTATACATATTATAATTCTTTCAAAGAAATTCTTTTGTTTTTTTAATTTTTTTAATGTTTGTTTTAGAGAGAGAGAGAGAATGAGCAGGGGAGGGCAGAGAGGGAGACACAGAATCCAAAGTAGGCTCCAGGCCCTGAGCTGTCAGCACAGAGCCCGACACGGGGCTCAAACCCACAAATTGTGAGATCATGACCTGAGCCAAAACCAGATGCTTAACTGAGCCACCCAGGCGCCCCTCAAAGAAATTCTTTATGTCACTCATCCCCTCATATATAAAGGGGTATATGAAAGGAAGAGGTAATTAAATTTGGAGAAAATACAGTTCAGAACCTTTGAGAGCCCTTTGGAAAAGCCCACAAATTAGCAACGAAAAAACCCAATAGCACAATGGGCAGGAAGTTTTCCTTACCTTTCAAGACTGGTACAAAATGAAATTTGATGTGATTTCTCCCATCTGGTATCTCGAATATAACTCTTGCATGGGGTTTTCCACGTTGGACTCAATGTACACTGTATACTTCTAAGCATCAGCTTCTCCCTTCCCTTGAGCTTCCTTTATTCAACAAATATTTGTGAAGCAATCACAGTCTCAGACCCTGAACTAGTTTGGGGAATATGGCAGTGATTAAGCCAGACCCACTTCCTCCTGTCACTAGAATTACATTCTCATGGGGAATACAAACAGATCGATAGCCACTACTATTTAGTGTGTTAAAGGCTATGATGAGGAAGAGAGGGAAGACTTTCAAATAATGAAAGATGAAAAGAGATAAGATCCAACACATTGAGAGAAAGCTTAAGGAACTTGAGTCTAGATGAGTAGCAAAATTGGCAAGCACAAGGGGGATGGAAACAGACATGCAGATAGGACCTGGAGATCTATGGAAAAGAGTATAGATATCAAAATTAAGGACAGTTAAGTATGTTTCAGGTAGGAAAGTGAATGTTTTGGGTAAAATTACTTCATTTAATTAGAATTTGGGCTGATTCAAGACTGGAATATGGTTTTTGTCAGATTCTTTTGCTAGATTGTCCCCCTCCTAGAATGTCACTTGAGAGTCTGGGGTATATACGATGACCTCTTCTTCTTAGAATGTTCTGACTAGAAGTTTTCACCTCTCAGCACTGCAGAAAACTCTAATGAAATTTTCAGTAGCTTCCGGCGTATGTTCTTAATCTTCTGCTTTTATAGCAGCTTAAGAATTCTCCAAAAGGCTCCAGGGAAAAACTGCCCCCTTCTCACTTGGCCGTTAGACAGTCACATTCTAGCTGCCATGGCGGCAGTCCCAGACTCCAATTTTCCTGTCATTAGCGTCGTGACGTTGCTAAAAGTTCTGCTGACTTGCTTCCTTAATAGCTGCACCCTTCTGCTTAGATTCTTAGACTTCTGCTCCATGCAAATGGTCAGTAAATAATGTTCTGAAAGGAAGAACAGTTCATAAGACTTTAGCTAACCCTTCCATGGTATCTTCTCTTTGCTCTCTCTGAGAACCTAGTCCCTCTGAATTGATCATCTTGTCTTAAAAGCTTTTTATTTTTAAACTCTTCTATTTGTTCTTAAAGAAACATGGGTTTATTACAAACTATGGCATCAAAGCCAGAACCAGAAGTCCTCAAAATGGCAAAGTGTCTATGTGGGTCAGAGAAACAGTGCTTACGTTCATTCCACTAATATTTCAAGACACCACCTTGAAGTAGAAACTTTTGATTTTAAAAGAAGTGCATCTCCTCTATTGTTTCTTACGTCTGGAAATTTTACTACTCTCTTCCCCCTTTGATCATCCACTTTCTATTGATGACTATTTCTTGGAATCACGTAAGCAACAAATTTGCTTAAGTCTCTGTTTAGTGTAGGAAGACACTTCCTCCAGAAAAGGCTCCAGGGAAAAACTGGAAAGTATGATTTTGTTAGAATTGCATCATTGACAGAAACCACTAAAAGCAATGCAGGTTTCCAGAAACTAATCTCGTCCTCTCTGCTCTTTGGTAATGTTCATTAAGTCATGTAATTTAGAAGTTATTAATGACCTGAGAAATATGGACCTGAGTAATATGGATCCTCATCTTGGGCTCCATCAAGACAGAGGAACTGAATTTGAGTATTCCACATTAAGCCGGAGAGAGATTTTAAGGGGGCACTAAAGTCATTCTAGGTCAGTGGGACCCTTGGTTCTCTACAAAAATATGTGCAAATATTTTTGGAGGAAAGCATCACCAGTTAAGGGCTAACCTATCAAGTTCAAACAAATTGGAGCTTATAAGCAAGAGCACTAAACACACATAAAAGACACACACAGGGTTTCTAGCCATGAGTTAGAAACAAACAACAAACAAAAACAACTTTACAGATTTCTAAAAGGGTTGAAATATTTAAATGCTAAAATATTTACATATTTATGTTATAACTTTAAAGTATGTAAATATTTTAAGGAAAATATGATATCATAAAAAGTAACAGCAATGAGAGAAGACATAACTGCAGAGCAGCTAAATATAACTTTCAGAAATGTAATCAAGGAAGAAGGATAGATTAAATGGAATAATACACTATTAAAGAGAGAAATAGTAAACTGGTGAGTGGAGAATATGAAGAAACTACCTAGAATGTGGTAGAGATGAAAAATGGGGAGTATGAGATTTTAAGAAATGTACGAATATAAGAAAAGGCTAGTATAACATCATAGTTTTAGTACAGGATAGGAGACATAAATGCTGAGGAAGGGCAGAGTAAAGGCAAAAAAAAAAGTTACACAAAGACAAAATAGTGAAATTACACAACACTGAAAACAAAACAAAAATCTTAAAGTCAGCCAGAGAAAAAGGAAATTTCAGGGAAAGCAAGTCAGTCTGAGAGTGAGCAGAACTATCTAAAATAAAGGGCATCAGAACACAGAACATTTTTCTTCCAAGTTCTGAGAGAATGTAATGAACTCTAGCAATGATCCCTGAAAATATAGTCTTTCTGAGAGAATATAATAGCCTGAAATTGTGTAGCTGGCACATCTATCTGACAACAGTAGAGGAATTTTCAGATTCCTAAGATATTTTCAGAAAGTCAAAACCTTGCCACCTGCCAAATCTTAACTAAAGGAATTTAGGATGGATGTATTCTAGAAAGCAAAGTAATAGAAGAGAAGTCTGAGATCTAATAAAAATGGTTACTAAATTTAAAAACCATCAATTTATCAAATGTTATGTGCATAAATAATAGTATTTTTAGATTTGTATTTTTTTTAATTTTTAAGGACAGTATTAAAATATCAGACAATAATAATATGCACCATAAGGGATGAAATATAAATGTAAATGTTCTGCTTTCTTGTGTAGCTCAGGAAAAGGACTCAGATGAGGAGCCTGAGGCACAAAGATGTTAAGTAACTTGCCCAAGTTCACAGTTATTCCTGAATCTTTTATTTTGTCCCAATGACTTTATACTAGAAGAAAATTGATGACAACAAATGGAGGTAATTTAAAATTAGGATTTTCTTTTTTTGTTGTTGTTCCTGTCTGGCCAAGTACATGACAATGGAAGGATTTGATTTTGTATCTCTCAGTTTCTTCATTTAGGTTAGAAAATTAAAATTATCAAAATAAACAACCAATGTGCTCATTTTGACAGCACATATACCAAAATTGGTGTACAAATGCTGAATCATTGTACACCTGAAAGTGATGTTCCATGTCAATTATATGTCAATTAAAAAAAAAGCTGAAAACTATAGTTAGTGCATTCACTGGAGATAAAGAGCAAATGATGGCACAGACATGAGGAACAGCCTCATCTTCCTGTGTCCTACTCCTCAGTTTATACAACTGTAGTCAAGAAGAAAGAACAGAGTACAAAAAGAAAAAAATTTCCATGTTACATACCCCAAAGGCAGATGGTAGAAATTAGAACCCAGGCATGGTGAGAGCCTCTCTCCATTCTTGCCATAAAGTACATAAGGTATCTCCATCATGATTACTTTGGAGGGGATTTCGCATTGTGACATACTTAGATTGCTGTCACAGCAGAACTAAATGTTTATAAAATAACCTACATCCTATGCATGCTGAATTCAATTAAACAAATCCCTGAAAGTCTGCCAAGAGGGAAGAAAGTCCATCAAGAATCAGAGAGCTGAAATTCAATTACAGTTCTTCCTGATCAGATGGGCTCTTCTGTTTTGAAACCTTTGTTTTTCTGCATTGATGACGTATTGGTGTTGATTGAGCTAAGTGGGTGTGATCTGTTTGATGTTATTGACTGAGATGCCTATGTGGAAAGGGGCTAGGAAAAGCCCCTTTATGTGGCAAAGAGTATAAGGAAATGGAACCAAATGAAGTGTGAAGAGAATAGGGGGAGGAAAGTAAGAAGTAATAGGCAAGAGAGATAGGGGGATGCAAGCATAGAGAATAAACACTGAAAGGTAAATGTTTCCAGAGGGAACTAATGAAATCTATTCCTTCCACGAATCAAGTAAAACAGTGTATTCTCTAGCTCAATCAGTGTTAATATAAATAGTTAAACAAACCAATTATTATACAATTGCTAATATAAATGGATAAAATCACATAGAAGTCCTTTGATTAAAGCGCAGGAACAGGATATTTAAATATAATTTACATTTTCAAACTTTGTTAT